GTGGATGGGGCTCACGCTAGATTTTGCGAAGTTGAGTTAATTTGTTCATTACGTCGTGTGAGGCTTACAAATCATTTCCAACTATGGCATAGCCTGTTCACAAGTGAATGAAGATGGAACCAGCCTCACGATCAGTTCATTATTAGCAGCTGTCATCTTTAGGTTATGTTGATAAACGGGAACATCTAGGAGTTTTAATTTCAAAGTTCTGTAATGTTCTGAACTCAGTCTAGTCAATAAATTAGCTGATGTTTTGAGGTTAGCTTCCATTTCAATAAATGAAAGTCACTTCGGATCATTGTAACTGGGATGATTAGAGCAGTAAAGAAGACCAAGATTAGCAGAATTCGTGGAGCAAATTCTTAAATTGAATCGTTCTCAAATGTAGTTCGAAGTACGCATTCTTCCGGCTTGTCAATGGTCATTGATCGAAGCGTTTACATCGTTCAGGTATTCGGCAATTGTAACGTAAGAGAACGTCTGTACCAAAAATTGCGTGAAATGTTGCTCACACGATGTTGTTCTGCAAATGCGCTAACGAGTGCCCTTTGCAATGAAACGTTCCATTTGATGAAATGTGCCACCGCAAATGGAGCAAACAGTAATTTTGTTTTATTTTTCACTCATAACAGAACATTTCCTCAGCAGCAATTATAAAGCAATCGGATGATTTTCGCCCAATCTATGAGACATTACATGATTGAGCAATCAATTTTTTTCAAGACCTTTCGGATTTTGACATTTTTCTTCAAAGTGACTACCGTTCATTGCATCAGATTTTTGCTCGCCTCTAATTTGATTAGAATCAAATCACTTAGTTTCAATCGAAACGAAGTAATTGCTGAGGATTCGACCGATTATCCAATTAATCTCCATCGATAAAAAACTTCCAATCGAACGATTCAAGCAATGTTAAGGGTTGATCTCATCACAAGAACAAAATAATTATCTGAATGAACAGCTTATTTTGTTTTTCGAGCATCCATCAAATAATACTTTCACTTAATAATGAATATATCGTTGATATGCATATCCATCCTTACTGTACATTTTACAGCGTTAATACCTCATCGTTTCGCGCATACCGATGTGAAGTTTCCAAGTTTCGATGACGTTCGTCACAATGTGACACTCGACGTTAGGAAAGCAGCTCGAGAAAGTGAAGATCACAGACGAGCCATACCATCGGCAATTTACTACGGAGGTTGGTTAGTTTATAGGCTGAGAATCTGCAGGAAGGATATGATATGTTCTTCATAAGGTTCTCGTTTGCAGTGATCATTTTACATATGATCACAAACGTTACTTGTTCATTTAATGGTAATTTTAGGTAGATGAAAGGTGAAAATGCATCTTTGACGCAAGAACAATTATGAAAGTGTTTCGGTGAAGTTTTCATCTGGTCCTATGAAGATAAAATTGATGAGGAATGGAACAGTGGGAATTAAAATCCTGATAAAATTTTCGGAGATTCATGAGAATTAAAGCAGAATTCTAATGAAGGTGACTGAATGAACAAAAAATTTAGTTGGTGGAACAATGGCTCTGATAACCGCAAAGGAATCAATCCAAAGAATCGTCGCATTCAAAGCGATGGCCGCAGATCAAGTGGCCTTAGCTTCAATTGAAGTGAAAATGGAGGAAATACCCGAAGGACAGGTAAATGTGAATACCTGAATTA